GAGAAGGTAGAAATTTTTATTTTTCTTGTCTCTCTTCTCTCTCTCTTTCTCTTCTAACGTGTGTCAACTGATAGAAATGGGGAGAAATAAGATATTTCTCCCCCTATTTATACTCTTTAATTGTGTGGTCCACGTCGCACCGCACATTCCCTATTTTTGGGTCCGTTTTTGTCATGAAACGACTTAATTTTGTCCCAGTTTAAGTTCAAATTATTTTTATTTGAACTTTCCTTCAATTATAAGAAAATTTTATAAATTTTATTTTTGGGGACGTTTGTGAGGTCGTCCGACACCCAGTTGTCTCGTAAAATGTAAAAAATGTAGCTATTTCAAAATTCGATGAAAATTAACTGGGCAACTTGATTTCGCGAGACGAATCCAACGGTGAAGTCCGTTACGTCATCTGAGCTCTATAGAAATACATATTTTAAATCCGCATTTTAGTGATAAATTATCGTTTTGCCCTTTTTTTAGAAAAAGTTTAAATTTACCCAATTTTTACAGAAAATGTTCAAGAATATAATGTTTCCTTTGAATATTCAACAAGATGCTATGAGATGTTTGAATGCTATTATCAAAGATGATTCTTGCTTGTGGCATTTGAGACTTGTATATCTTAATTTTGTTGGCTTGAAGCTTTTATCTAGCAAGAAAAAGGTGAAGGGTCTATTCTTGGCAAGCATCACAGATTAAGCTTCTCAAGAGAAGTCAAGTGGAAAGCATCACGACCCTTGGAGCTTGTGCACACCGACGTTTGTGGTCCTTTGAATCCTATGTCCAATGGTAAGAATTGCTATTTTCTTACTTTTATTGATGATTATAGCCAGAAAACTTGGGTGTATTTTTTAAGAAGGAAGTCCAAAGTTTTTAAGGAGTTTAAGAATCTTAATGAAAAAGCAAAGTTGCTATTTTATCAAGAGGTTGAGGTCCAATCAAGGTGATAAATATAGTTCCTATTTATTTGAATACTATTGTAAGGAGCATGGAATTGTGCATCAATACACGCCAAGCTACACACCTCAATTGAATGGAGTTGCAGAAAGGAAAAATATGACTATTCTTGATATGGCTAGGAATATGTTGAAAGGAAAGAGATTGCCTAGAGAATTTTGGGCTGAAGTCATAGCATGTGCAGTGTACTTGTTGAATCAATGTCCAACCAAAAGTGTTCGTTTCAAGACCCCGAAAAAAGCTTCGTGTTCATTCAAGCCTAGTTTAGCCCATCTTAGAGTTTTTGGATGCATTGCTTATGCAAAGATTCTTGAAGCAAGGAGGACAAAGCTTGATGATAAAGGCGAAATGTGCATTTTTCTTGGGTATGGTAATAGAACAATGGGGTACAAGTTATACAACCCCATTACCAAGAAAGTGATCATGACTAGAGATGTAATCTTTGAAGAGGAAGACATGTGGGATTGGAAAGAAAAAATTTCAGCCACCGATGTGGAACTTATACTTGAAGAAAAAGAATCAAAAGAACTAAGGGAAGTCCAAAGAGAGCCACAAACACCTCCACATGGATCCCTCTCATCTTTTACAGGTGAATCATCATCATCATTGGATTCTAGTTCAAATGAACGACCAAGAAAAATGAGAAGTTTGCTAGAGATTTATGAATCTACTAAAAAAATTGAAAGTAACTTAAATTTTTTTGTTTGTTCATGGATTGTGATCCTTTATGTTTTGAAGAAGTGGTTCAAAAAGAGAAATGAAGAATAGCAATGGATGAAGAAATGAATGCAATTGAAAAGAATGATACATGGGCACCAGTTAGTCTCCCCAAGGTCATAAAACAATTGGTGTGAAGTGGGTATATAAAACCAAGAAGGATGCAAAAGGTGAAGTCCAAAGATACAAGGCGAGGTTGGTTACTAAAGGCTATAAGCAAAGGGCCGGAATTGATTATGGTAAGGTATTTGCTCCCATTGCTCGTTTGGAAATGATTAGGTTGATGATTTCTTTGGCGGCACAAAACAAGTGGAAGATTTACCAACTTGATGTGAAATCGGCATTTTTGAATGGATTTCTTGAGGAGGAGATTTATGTTGAACAACCTTTGAGGTATGTGAAAAAGAGACATGAAGATAAAGTGTACAAGTTGAGAAAAACTCTCTATGGATTAAAGCAAGCACTGCGCGCATGGAATGCCAAAATTGACAAATACTTTTGTGATAATGGTTTTGAAAAGTGTCCTTATGAGCATGTATTATATATGAAGATGGATGACAATGGAAGTGTGCTGCTTGTTTGCCTTTATGTTAATGACCTGATCTTCACCGGCAATGATCCAATGATGTTTAATGGATTCAAGAGAAGTATGGTTACGGAGTTTGAAATGACTAATATTGGTTTAATGTCTAATTTCTTTAGCATTGAGGTTAAGCAAAGTAAAGATAGAATTTTTATTTCTCAAAGTAGTTATGCAAAAAAAATACTTAAGAAGTTTAAGATGGATTCTTGCAACCCGGTGAACACACCCGTAGAAATTGGATTGGAATTGAGGAAGAGCATTAGTGGTGGAAATGTTGATCCAACTTACTTTATAAGTTTAGTTGGAAGTCTTCGGTATCTTACCTACACAAAGCCGAACATTCTTTATGAAGTTGGCTTAATTAGTTGATACATGAAAATACCGGATCAAACTCATCTTAGTGCGGCAAAGAGGATTTTACGTTATATTAGAGGTACACTCAATGATGGCTTATTTTATTCTTGCACTAATGATTTTAGACTTGTTGAATATTCGGATAGTGATTGGGGACGAGACTTGGATAAAAAGAAAAGCACCTCGGGTTATTGTTTTTTCATGGGAGATACGACTTTTACTTGGTCATCCAAGAAGCAAGCAATTGTTACTTTGTCTACGTGTGAAGCAGAGTATCTAGCAGCAAATTCAACAGTGTGTCATGCTATCTGGTTGAGGAACTTGTTGAATTATTTGGGATTTTCTCAAGAAATTCCCACGAAGATCCTTGTTGATAATAGATTGGCAATGACATTGACAAAAAATCCGGTGTTCTATGAGAGAAGTAAACACATTGATACACGCTACCATTTTATTAGAGAGCATGTGAAGAATGAAGAAGTGAAGTTGGTGCATTGCAAGACTCAAGATCAAGTTGCTGACATTTTTACAAAGCCATTAAAGCATGATGTGTTTGAAAGATTGAAAATGATGATAGGCATGAGAATCCAAGGAATTGGGTTTAAGAAGGGATGTTAGTTTTATAAACCCAATTCTTTAATGGATAGTTTTTATATTTTACTTTTGGGTTTATGATGTAATATTGAAAAGTTAAGATGTTAGATGGTATTTAGGCATATTTAAGGGTTTTTGTGTATTTGAAGAGATAGTCACTAGAAGTGTCCAGAATTTTTTGTGAGGTGTGATCATACCTTTGGGAAGTCTGTTCATGCATTGCTACGTGGAAAGTCGAACCGACAGATATTAAACATTAAAGTTGGAGGCGGCTGGTCATGAAGTGGGCAGATTCAAGGTTTTTTTTTTCGGCTAGGAAGCATTAGTATACAAGGCAAGGAGTTGCTGCCCAAAAGGTGTGGATATTATCTGCAGAAAAAAACAGAGAGAAAGAGAGTTAAAAAAACTGTGTTTTACTGGGAAGAAAAATTGGCAGGTGTGCGACATGAGCAGAAGCTCTATTTCTTTGTATTTCTTGGGTGTTTTTGCTGAAAATTTCGGATAAGTTATCTCCTTTGTATTGTTTGATATTGTGATCATTTTTTATGAAATATAAAAATGTTCTTTGAGTGAAATTTGTGTGATAATGTAGCAGATTTTTGTCTCTGTTTTACTTACCTTTGGTGATTTATTTGACTTTCAATTCCCAACACCATATACTTTTCTCTTTACCAAAAAAAAAAACTTGAGTTTCTTTTTTTTTGATCTATTTGTTGTATAATGAGATTTTATCCTTGCACAACCATTTATGAGCTTTTACGATTTTTTTCTTAAAATCATAAAAATTAATTGTTATGGAATGGTGGGAGGGACGGGGACAGTGACAGTGACTAAGATAAGGATCAAAATTTATCCGTGCGGCAAGGATTGGGATTAAAAATTTTCTGCTGAGGTGGACCAAGGTGGACGAACATTTTTGAAGTGTTTAAGGCCTAGAGACTACTTCACCCGCCCCCACCCCAGCCCCAGTCCACTGCCATCCCTCCTTGTGTTGTGTCAAAACTGAGTCATACAAAATTTGCTAAATATATACACGACTCATCTGTAATTGGGTATATCGGGGTTCATGTTGTATTGTTTTTTTGCTATGTATAAGTTTTGTATATGCAATATTTAACGGATTTGTATCGTGTTTAGTTGGGTTTTTATCGACCCATTTATTTATGAGTCTAATGGGTCTAACCTTTATCGCTCAAACCCGTTAAGACTAAAGTTGAACTTCTATGTTAATTCCGTGTCGAGTACATCTGTTTTGTGTAGAATTGTAGGTTGAGTACTCCGTATGTATATACCTGTCAAGTGGATTCATTTACTTCCCCCATAATTCCTTTCATAGAACCTGTGTACTCAGTTTGAAAATCTTTTTTACTCCCAATAATTCTAGTCTTACGATTCTTGAACTTGAAGGTGCGCGAGAAGTAGATATTTGCTGATTTAGAGCCTGTTAGTGGAGCCTTTGGTCAAATCCACAACTCATTTTACGAGGTGTATGGCTGGTTTTGTGAGCATATTGAACGTGTTCTGCATTTTGTCTGTATTTTGAAATATCTGAGACACCAAAGTATCTGCAGTGAATGCACTACCCCAGAGGTAACAATGTCATAACTATCCTGAGGGAAATGAGACAACAACTGCTCAGTACTGAAAGTTTGGCCGGTTGCAAAATGCTGCACCAGTGGGTCACGTTCAAGAGCAAGCAAAAATCTAGACACAATTTGTGCTAGAAATATAGCAAAGACATGTTGATTTAATATTTGCCTTCTTCCATACATTTTTCAAACGGTTTCTGAATGCTTAGCTGTGTGGCTTGATCGCATTGCTGTATAACTTTCCCAAATGAAATGCACTTGTTTGATGAATCTCATTACTTGCCATTGAGGGGTTTGTCCCCATATTTGGCTTCTGTAAAGAATACAAGAATAATGAAATTGTGTATCACACTCTGGTGATTTTTTTTTTTTTTTGCCGGATCCAACTCTACTTTCCTATACTGTATTCCTCTTGATCTATCAATTGATCCTGATCTCTGTGACCTTCCTTGTATTCTAGCCTAAGGGGAAGAGTTCTTTTTTTCCAAATTGCTTGTGTGTGTCTCCCATGTCACTCAGGAAACTGACTACTATTTACAGCGCTAGACTAGGATGAGTTGTTGTTGTTGGTAGCCTTAGTTGTTCCCAGTTCGAGCATATTTGCTGCTGCGAAATGGGGTTTCACGAAATCATCTGAAAAATGATGTTTTCGCTCGTGATGCGCCTTAGCTATCCATATTGTAACTAGAGCCACCATTGTCATCGAGAGGAACACCATTGCTGCCCATACCATCCGTACATTTTTCTTCAATGGTTTGCAGTGTTTGTGAAGGATTTCAGAAAAAGCATCCTTCACTGTCTGACATTCAACTAGACTTTCCATACCAGGGTACACATTTAATAGATTTTGTACTGAAGTTGAGTAAGCTACCACTGTTCTGAAATCTGTAGAGGAGATTAGTATTCCTCCGTTGCAGGCTCCGTTTTCGGCGTCTGAACATGTAAGCATCCTCAATACCTTCCAAACAGAAGAGAAAGTACAAGGAAATGTTTATATGTATTTAATCTCCCATGTAAAATAAATATCTAGATCAGTATGATTCTGCTTGCAGGCAGGATAATCTAGTCATACAATTAGGAAACATGGACACAGACAAGGGATGCATGTGCCATATGACCCATATGCTGAAACAAGAAATTGTGAAAAAGTAGGAGATGGACGCAGTTAGGAGACACAATAAATACTTGTGTTTATATGTCTGATTTTGGATATGATTGTGGTATTGTTGTGTAAAGAATGAAATTAGTACTTTCTGATAAGTAAATCAAATGTCTACTACTCTAACGTGAAAATTGAGACTACTGGATCATAGTAGTCACTCTCATCTTCTAAAGCCGTCTTCTTTAATAAAACATTTATGCACCTTTTAGTTTTATTGGTCCATCTTAAGCAAAAAATTTCAATATAATTTGTGGTAACAATTTTATATCTGTTCACAATATAAAATAGCCATATTTCAAACTTTCAAGGATTATTGATTTCATGGAGACATTTGCCTTTTTAAGCTTAGAAACTGCCTAAAAAAGTGTTGGGCATGTGTCCAAAATGAAGATTTTGGTTAAAACAGTATCGGACAAGTGGCTCAAAGTGTTCTAGAAGTCTGTGTTTGACATGTATTTGACACAAATCTTCACCTCCTTGGGAGTTTCCAGGATTACTAAAAAAATATAATGTTTGAAAGCATTATTTTTCTCTGGCATACCTGAGGAATGTCTCCAATCCGAATTGCATTAGCTGGACAGTTCTCTGGTTGGTATTGGTACTGTGGTGGTGCTGAGAAAGGATTACAGATTTGAACAATATTTGCATACGATGTGGATATGTTTGTGTTCACCTGCAGTTGTTCCACAGCAGTAGCAAGTAAGTATGTTGTCTTCCTTCTCAATTTCTTCTTTTTCCCCTCATATGATAAGACCAAATGTGCTACTTCTAGTAGCTACAAACATTAACTGAAAGGGCTTTGACATGCTATTATGCTACTCTGTTCTTCTGTTGAAGATATGCACATTCAGCTTAAGGTCCATTTGGGGTTCTAACCACTAAATGAAAGAGGTGGGCCATACAAAAGCACGGAGCCAGGAATTTAGCTTAAGGCCGACAAAGGTCTGTAGCGACAGTCTTTTAAATTTTGACAAAAAATGTCTAGAGCGAACCTATATAGTTTGGATTCTTAGCCAATTTTGCGATGGAACTTTAATCGTGCAGGTGAAACTTTTTTCAATGACTAAAATTCAGTAATCAGTATTTTACCTGGTTCACTAATCCATAAATCCCCTCACTAACATCATAAAGGACTGATTTTGCTGAAAGCAATTCATCACAAGGGAGGATTGAGCTCAAGCTGTTGTTGTAGGGATCCTGTTGGAAGCCTTCAAGTGCTGTGCATGTATCTCCTGCAAACCTGTCAATAACCAACTTAATTAATTAAGCTCAAAGTGCTCTTTTTTTTCCGCCTCCTTGAGAAAAATGAAAAAAAAAATTTGATAGAAGAGAAAGAAAGTTTTCTTACTGTTCAATGAAGAAATAAATGCCGAAGAACAACCAGCAAAAGACTATGAGCAGCCAACACAATATGATGAATCTGTATGATTTGGGAAATAATATGAGAAACTTCTGTGCTTCAATGCACTTGTAGATGCAATAATTTCTTAGGTAAATGAACTACTTTTTGTAGTGACTAAACAATTCAGTGGACTTACATGTGAAGTGCCCGTTGTAGCTTGAGAATCCCAAAGACTACAGAGAAAAGGAAAATATTTTCAGTAGCAATAACATTTAAAATGATGATCCAATTACCACAGGTTGCATTTTAAATATTTCACAGTTTCAGTTTGTGGTTAGAGCCCTTATAGATTTTTTTGGGGGTTCAAATCATAGATTTTTTATGTATGGCATTAGAAGTTTCAGACCCCTTGCAGATATCAGATTTGTGTGTCCACTGAAATGGTGTGCTTACTATAGGAGTTTGCATATTTCATGTGTTCTGATTAAAATTTGGAATTACTTTCTGGACTTTTCTTTGATGGCAGGAATTATTTTATGAGACATATACACACCTGATAGGGCAATCACAGCAATCAAGTTCAACGAAATAATCACCGTACTTACTATATACCTGCAAGCAGGAACAAGTTTTAATGGCAAAGTATTGGAAAACACACACACACACACACTGAGAAACAGAGAGGGGGTGAGATTTACGCTATCCTGAGACCCAAGTTGATTGCCTGCCTGTTCTTCTTAGCTTGTCTTTCTATTACTGCAGCTTGGGAATCCAGCTCTCTAGAAGTTGAAGTAAGGAAGCCAGAAGTTTCACCATTTCCACTAGTTGTTACCAACCTAGTGTCAATGTCCTTCATTGCTTCAGTTGTATTAAATATGGTGTTTGATGCTTCATTTGCTGTATCTATGATAATGTTCACCACTGTTTTTGCTCTAGAATGGAAGTTTGCATTCCCTCCCAGAACTAGCCCAGATGCTACTCTGCATAATTATGCAATAACATTGTCATTATTGTGTGGTGATGAGATTTAGTTCTTGCCTTTTCAAAACCAATTCTCTTTACCCTTGGTAATTCTTAAACTAAAGGATGATAATTTTACTGACACCCAGTTATTTGATTTGCAGTGATTTCATGGGGGTGGTACCCTTTGGTTTAGGTACCCCATAAAGTATCTTCAAGAATGCCCCTATTGGCCTCTTAAGTGATTTGGATTGGAACTTCAGGTTTCTAGATATATTTCAGATCACCATCTTTCTCACCGGTTTCTAAGGAATTGAGGCACAACTGTAAGGTTTTTCCATTGGAACATGGGTGTCAAGGGTTAAGTAGTATAAACAACAGGCAGGGGCAAGACTGCATTTATATCACCCTCTCCAAATACCACAGTGCATGGGAATTTTGTGCGTTGGGTGATTGGGCCGACCTTTCAAAGTACTCAGTGGAATTAGTTTGTTAAGGAACTTTTGGAGAGTAACGTGTTCAAGATCCAAGACATGCTTACTTGTGATGGTAAGTAATTTGTGTGTAAAAATGAACTTGCTCCTGCTAAATGGCAAGTATAGTTGTGTTCTATTTGACGTCAGCATTGTATTACTGACAAATAAGGTCTCTTGTTTTGTGCAGTGATAAATCGTGACTACTACCATTGTATTACAAAAAAAAAATGACAAAGAGACTTGCAAGACTTACATTACGAGGATAGTGAAGAAAGTTGCCAGTAGAATGGGCCGCAGATAACACTGCTCATGACAAGGTGTTCCCTTTCTCAACTTCCTATGGGAATGTTTACAACAAAATGTGGTGGCAAGAAGATATCCTCCATATACTAGACCAACGAAAATCCACAGCACTGCTAGGGCATATCCATAAATTCCTGTAAATACTGTTGACTACACAAAATAATATAAGATAAGTTACTGTTTGGATTATCTTTTTTTGGAGAGAGAGAGAGAGAGAGAGAGACTAACACTCCAATAATGCTTGTTTGTGATATCATATCCTCCTCTGTATTTCTTGAAATCATCTAAAGGATCCACCCTTACAGTATTATCTGCCTTTTTTTCAGTCTGAAGCAAACTTCTTCCTGAAAAATATGTAAATCATCAGAGGATAAGCAAACTTCTTACTGTTTCGATTTACACTGCCTTTACACTTGTCTTTTTCATTCTGATTCTTGTTAATGAAATCACTGGATATAAGTTTCCACAAACATGCATACATACCACTTTTCTATTGTTATTGATGGAAATTTGACAGTTACTCAACTCTTTTAAGAATAGGTGAAATTAATGAAGGTGAAAATACAACCTCAAAAACATAGATCCCCCAATACATGCCAATGTGATACCAACCCATTATGGAGTTGTTTGGTTACCGTTGGTTAGTTTTCGATTTGAATCCGATAATGACACAGCCTACTAACATGTATGATATATTGATTGGGTCGTTGTCAAAACACATAACTCGAATTTAACATACTTTATATTTTACGAATAAAGTTTTAATAATTTTTTTCACTTTTTTATATTTTTTTTACTTGGTTTTGTTAGTCTTTGTGTTAAGGGGAATTTTAGTTTATCATCCACTAGTCATAATTCGTGCCTATAAGCACAATAAAATATAAAATTCGAGCACCAAAAAAATCGATTGTAGTATATTAAATTTTTTTCAACATGTGCACACTATCGTATATGAATAATGTTTGAAATAAAAATTATATTAACTACAAATTAATCAAATATTAAGTGATTAAATATATGATAGAAATGATTGATGTGATGTTTTTAAGGAAAAAATATATAAATAATTAAACATGTGATAAAAATGAGTGATGTGATGTTTTAAAAGAAAAAATATGTAGGAGATAAAAATTCAAGTTACTATGTATTTTATTATATAGACTAACAATATCTCGTGACTAAAGTCATTGTACACTGAATTTATTATACTGTATATGCATTGGAATGTGTGTTGGAGTCTATGTATGTATGTGCAGCTGTGTGTTGTAGAGTGTGTATTGGATTTTTAAAATTTGGGGGGAAAATGTGTTGGGTGTGTAAATTTTGGGGAGAAAATATAATTTTCATAAGTTCAAACTCTCGTCTGTTTTACTATATAAGGGTTCTTTGGAAGTTGGTATACTTAATTAAACTTATTTGACAAAAAGTACATACAATAAAATATGAGTTAAAAAGACATAAATACCCATTTTATGATCATTTAATTCAAAATCTCTTGTCTTTAATGCACTTTGATTCATGTGTGTATGTTAATACATATAAATACGTATTTAATGCACTTTAAGTCATGTGTATTTGTTAATATATATATATATATATATATATATATATATATATATATATATATATATATATATATATATATATATATATATATATATGTTGTTAAATCTCTTATTTAAAATTTGAATTATCTTTAATACACTTTGATTCATGCGTATTTTTTTTAAAAGTGATTTTGTTTTCAAATTATATTTAATGCACCTTGATTCAAACGTTTGTTTTTTTTTGGAAAATAGTTTTATTTTCAAATTAATTTAATATCCGAATAATGTAATAGTATATGCATGAATCAAGGTGTATTAAAAGATAATTCAAAATTTATATAAGAGATTTAACAACAAGTATATACATACATACATACATAAGTGTGTATATATATATATTAAAGTTCTTCCATAAAATTAGGAGATATTTAATGCACCACTTTCCAAAGAAAAGTGGTGCATTAAATACACATGGATTAATGGATGACAAAAATGTCACAATAAAAATAGATAAATTCAAATTATGTACTTGGATACAAATAAGTATCAAAATTAACTACTTAATAACTCTAAATTTTTAGTATATATTTTTTACCAAATAAATCTAATTTAATGTAACCTTTACAATTTACCCCTTATATAAATATTGCAACCTGTATTTATACTGTGGGCCTATGGCCCATAAAATTTTTGGCAGATCCATAAGCCAACTCGAATTGCTTCTTCCAGAGCAAGCGTCGTAGAATTACTTCAGTCTGAGTCCACGGCCAAATATTGATCCACCCCAAAATGAGTCCACGGCCCAAATTAAATTCAGACATTAGTTTATGTATACAAAATTATTGTTCTTAAATTCAAACTGACAAATTCTCTATTTTAAACCCAATTTTTTTTTTGGTTCAACTATAAAGAGTGTCTGAGCTAATTTACGAGCACTTTAACTAATTCATTTTCCAGTCTAGACATCCATGACGGGATCAAGGTATTCATAAGAGATAAATCTCTCATAGTCTGACTCCAGAGAGTTACCAAGATTTAAACACAAGGTGTCTGAGTTTTCAACTCATCCTTATTATCATTTGAACTACCAATTGAAGTTAAAATTTATTCTACTAATACTAGACACCGGTCCTCAATTTAGTCCAAGTCATATCCAATTTTTTGGCTCCACATAATGACACGATTCATGCAAGGCTTAGCAATAGTTCTGTCGTATTAAATGTTTAAGTCTTGTAAGTAATTTATTGCTAGATGTGTATGATATGTAGAGATCGTATCGTTTCAAAAAAAAATTTTTTTTTGGCAGAGAAGGAAGGGAACTTGAACCCTTGAAAAGGTAGAGCTTGGTCTAAACTACACCCTTACCCGAACCCAGCCCGAATCGAGGCGAAGCGGACGAACGACGCGCACACATGTGGTCGAACCGAAAACATAAAATCGCTCTGTGAATTTTTTAGTGAGTCAGTATTATATACCAATCAAATTATCATCTCAACCTGGTAGGACCAAATCATATAAAAAAACATGATATCGATTAAATGTGAGACTGACATGTTGTGTTACAAATAATAAAGAGAAAATTCAAAGTGAGAATAGATTGGTGAAGTATCAGTCCTCACCTGATCCAAAACTACTAGTTCCAGAGGTTTGCATGGAGTTTAAGGCCAAAATGATAACCATGAGAATTAGGCACATTGCCAATTTTGTGCCACGTGGAAAACCCATCTTTTAACCTGTCAAATACGTAAAGAGATTGTTAGTCTTCAATGCTTATTGGAAAACTCCCCAAATCTCACTTCCTATAGAAAAGAAAAGTAGTGGCAAATTCCTTTCACCCAAACCTAACCCACTAAAAACGAGAGAGAGGGAGATTGCTCAATCGAAGTCTGCTTCAACTTGGAAGAACTTAAACCATGAAATTATATATGTCCACAGACTCATAAAAGCATGAATACAGAGAAAAAGAGAGAGAGACACAGGTAAATAGTCATGAAGCCTTCCAAAAGCATATAGTTCCATGATCCGGTTATGATATGAGAAAGGAATTTTTCGAGACTTTACTTCAATTTTTTATCCAATAAAATCGTAGCATGTGTAATTTTTTTTTAGCAACTAATCAATCAAACTAAGATTAATTTTGTAGATTAATTAGTGGGCACACAAACTTTGCTAAAAGCAGCCTGATTTTACACAGAATGACATGTGCTGAAAGTAAGGAACATTTCTGGTTATCAAAACATGCAGAAAAGAACATTTTTGGTAACAAACCAATATATTCTTATTACGCACAAAACTGTCAAGTTTAAATAGAAAGTTCAAAAAAAGAAAGGTTTTTAATAAGAATATGAACAACTACCCACCCTTTTGAATTTGAGATTAAAGAAAGAAAATTTGAAGTAGGAATGATACAGAGAGAGAGAGAGAGAGAGGGAGAGATTTCTTGTTTGAGAAATGGGAAACAATCTGTTTAGAAGGAGAATTCTCAGAAAAAAAGCAGGCCTAAACTGTGATCATGGAACCAAGAAAATCCAAGCATACAGATGGAGAGAAAATGGTATTCATGAACTCACCAGAATATTTGAGAAACAGCAGATTTCTTCCCAAGCAATTCTAGAAAATGTGCTCTTGGAGTTCTGTATGAAACTTCAATAGCTTGAATTGAATCTTTGCTTTGATGATGAATCAACTTGAACCTCAAACAAACAATACCTTGTTTCAAAATTACCCTAATTAATATATATAAGAAAGCCCCTAGTTCCCGAAATTCAGCTTTCTTTAGCTTGAATTAAGAAACCCCACATCAGCAAAACAAAGCACAAAAAATTTCTCATGCACTAGAATAAGAAACCTCTTTGATTCCCAACTCTGTCTTGCTTATATATATAGAAAGTCATTATCTAGAAATTTGAATCTTCAAATGTTTTTTTTTCTCCTTGAGTCCTTAAAAACCTAACATATATATAATCAACAATAAAAAGCCAAGTCAAACACTTCAACAGAAACACCTCTCTACTATTCTAATTCCAATCAGACGAAAAGCCCGTTTTGAATCCTCAACCATATATCGATTAAAATAGCTATCTTCTTTATGCTTAGCAGCCTTGTCAAAAACATCCCAAACCAGTTCACAAGACTTCTATTTCTTAGAGAACTAATAGACACTCTTACCCTCAGTTTGGAGAGTTTGATTCTCGGAATTCCTCATATGTGTGTATTTATGTATCTATATATATGTATATGTATATATATAGAGAGAGACAGAGAAGGGGGGGGTAGTTTCTTAGTAACTTGATCCACTTTTCATATACCCAACAACTCCTTAGCTTCTATTAGATATATATTTCGGTCATTCATTTGTGATGACTATAGGGGAGGGGGTGCTGTGCAATGCATCTGATTTTCAACTAAAACCGCTCTTTCTCTCTCTAGAAGTCTAGAAACAACGGAGTCTTTTTCTGGTCAAGTTAACGAACTTTTGAATGGGGGACGGCTTAAATGAGTATTGCTTCTCTCTCTCTCTGCGTAGAGTACGCGTGAAGTCGACGGTCGACACTGCAAAAGGCTTACGAACGTGAGAACTTCAGCAAACAAATTAGAAAAATAAGAAAAAAAGACGTAGTGGGACAGTCCCCTTTTTAATGCTTTTTTTCTCAACTGAAGCATAGTCAAGGATATACAAAAGTGCAGCCATGCGCAGAAATACTTAATCACTTAAAATTAGACCCAACATGATGATATATGATAATATCGTGTAATCACTTAAAAATATTACCGTTACACCTAATATTTACTCAAACCCAACATAGTTATTCAATGAAAGTTGTGTCATTTAGATGGATCTATATTAAAAGTTTTTTCCAATATCATATCCTAATGTATTTTGTTTTCTTGGGTAGCATATCTTTTTGGTGGCATTTGAGATCGATTTAAAAAGTTTAGAATTCGTTATACTAATTTTTTGGGATCGATGCCCAACATCTCAAAGATGTAACTTGAATATCTAATGATAGCTAAAATTGTAGTAGCGACAAGTTTTAAAACGAAATGTTTTGAGTTCGAATCTTGATAATTCTTCGAGTTAGGTCATGAAGATCCCCATTCTCAGCGTGAATGACCTATCTTTGACGGGACTAGTGAGGAAATTAGTCGAAGTATGTGTAAGATGATCTAGATTCCCTTAACCGTTAAACCAAAAAAAAAAGATATAACTTGACTTGATCCCAAAAATTATAGTTTTTTGGAATCAATTCTAAAAAAAGTTTATCATCAATACAAGTTTTTTTTTATTTTAATTTAATACTAAAAAATTGCGCTTTAAATTAAGAAGGTGATGTTTTTTTGGTCATGAGTGATGTTGTTGAATCACAACTATAATTTTTATTTTTTAGCTATCTTATTAAATCAAACTATAAAATTCAACCTTGTAAGTTCAACCAAACATTAGATAATTTAAATATCTCCGTTTATACTATTTTATGTTGAAGATATTAAAAATCATAATCTAACTGACTTTATTTATTAACATGTTAGTCACTAATTATAACTCACGAGAATAAGAAGACTTTTGTAAAACTCTCAGCCAGATAAGCTCAAACAAGTAAATTTGTGCATTTATGCTCTTCTTCCATTTTATATTTTCAATTTTTATCCATCCAAAATTTATGTTTCAGTTATTAGACATACACTTGATACGTTTCTCTATTACCAAAAGAAAAAGCAGGGAAGTAATTTGTCATACTAGTCGTAAATTTGCATTTTTTAGGTACAAAATTCCCAAACTACCACCCTAGAAAGGCCCAGTCCGGTAATTGGATCAAACATATGGATCCACCCAAGCCATCCGATTCCAAACCGGAACACTCCGAATCCGAACCCACCCACACACCCAAATCCTTCTCCTCCAGTGGGATTCACCTTTCACCATCCTAGTGGGACCGGAGAAAATCGCATGCGTTCAAAATTTGCATGACAATCACAAATTTTATAAATTTAAGGATAAATTACACTTTGACTCCCTTACTTATGATGATTTTTTTACTTTATCCCTTCAACTATTAAAATTTTTTACATTGTCCCCTCCATTACTTTGATTATTTCACATTGTCCCAATTGCAAATGTATGTTATTTTTTTAGACTAAAATTACTAACATGTCGGAAAAAAGTGAAAAAATTACATAGTCTAAGGGGTAAAATAAAATAATTTTTTTGTTAAATATGTAACAGACGTTAATAATTGAAACGGTGTGAAATTAATCATATAGTTGAAGGTGTAATATTAAAAATATGATAATTGAAAGGACAAAGTAAAAAAAAATAGTCATAACTTATGGGATCAAAATATAATTTTTCGTAAATTAAAAAAAAATGATTGATTGAACGATCGATTATTTATCCCAAATGAAATGTGGGAAAATGATCACCCCTTTCACACAATTGACGTACTGCACATTATTCTTTGAACAATTATAACACGTGTTACAAGCATAGGCTGCATGGTGCTTTTTATAATTGTATGAATCCATACGGGTGAAGGTGTCCGGCGGCTAGTCAATGGTGGCTAATAGACAATCTTGTTAATAAAAATCAGAGTGGACTGTCTTATCATGGACCATGAGAACGGTTACGGTACTTATAATATAAAATAAAATAAGTTTTAATAAGTTTATTAAATAATCTCAAATACATTTATTTAAAGATTACCAACATGCCTCTTAAAATCTTTTACATTGTACAGTATCTTCAGGTACGAATTATCCCAAGTTATCTAATAAAATTGGAGATGTTTAAATTTTTAATTATTTAATAATTTTTATTACTCTTATAAATTTTTTTCAATCAACAATGAATTTATATAATCTGAGACTAAACCAATGATTAAGATCAAATATAAGTCGTTACCATAGCTTAGAGCATTTCTAACAATAATAGCTATTTTAGTTATCCAAAAAATATTTTTTTTTATTTTAGTTACTCATTTTTTTAATATACACTCTCACAAATTCTCTATATGTTTAACCTAAAATTTGCCTATTTTTGGCATTTGAAGCATTTGTTGGCGATGGTCTTACATATAAGGATGTTCTGCTAAAACTTGATCTATATCTATATAATAAAATAGAACGATTTTGAATTTTAAAGATAAAGAGTAACTCAGATCGTTTCGTAATAAAAAAAGACATCATCCAACGGATGACGTTAACTCAAACTATCTCAAGTTATTGACGTCTCAAATTATTTCGATTCGACACACCAAATTAACCCTTAAATTTTTTTAACCGCCCAAAGCTTACTTTCCCAAATTAACATTCATAAATTAATTCTTTCCCTTACATTACACAAATCCCAATTGGTAAGTATCCCGCGGGCCCGCACTGTCTCACTCCCTCTCTTACACTCTTTCTCTGTCCTGCCCCAATCTTTGCCTAAAATCTCGCCCCTCTCTCACGCAATCTCCCCCATGTCTTTTTTCTTCCCCATCGAGAGAGAGAAAACCACAAAATTCCCCAAAATTTGTCTTTTCTATCTCCCCATCAACGCAACACGCCAGACTCCAGCTCCTTCATCCTCATTCTCTTCTTCACAGAGCCACCAAAGCTCAAGGCAACTAGAGGTAACTCTCTCCCTGTCTGTCTCATTCTCCACCAATGCTCAATACATATTCTGAGCACCCTCTTTTTTTGTTGCTCTAGGATACCGAAGTGGAGGGCATAGAAGAATTGTTGGTGAGGAATGGTGGGGCACCAAGCTAGTTTCGATTACCCTTTGGTGATGCTAAGCATTGGTCTCTCTCTCTAATCTACCTAGCGATGATTGCATCAACACGTCATTTTTTCTCTGGCATGGTTACCTCTCAAGTACTAATCGATTTGTCATTCACCCCTCTCACTTGCTCGCTCTCTATTTCTCTTCCAAAGCAAATTCCATATTCGATCGATTCCAATTAGCAGCTTTCTTTCTCTAATTTTGCCTTTGGGTACTATAGAGTTTGTGATTGGGTTTAGACAATTGAAAGCTTGAATTGCACGTGAATTTTATGGGGTTTTGGCTCAGATTTCTTAAATTTTGTTTGCTTCTTTAAGAGGCATTTCGACATTGAGGACTTATACTTGGACTGGTTCATTGTTTTGGCTGCTCCTTATGGTATGTTGTAGATGATGATTCCTTGAAGTTATTTAAGTGTGAGTATGTTTATTGGTTAAGAGCCTGTTACATAGTTTTTTATTGTTGAGAATTGATCTTCACACACACATTGCTTTTCTTTCTGCAAAAAAGTTATGATTTGTGGTTGTTCATGGCTTCACTCCTGGATTCGTGCATAATTGACTCAAAATTCTCACACGGGTCTGTTTCAGAAAATGATTTTATGCTAGGGACATCATAGGTGCGCACTTCCATTGACCGTTATGGTATGTGCAGGCAATTTGGGTTGTATATTTCACTTTGCATCCGCTGTTGTTTTTCTTGGCGTGTTCATGATTAAAACTCTCTCATGAGTATGTACATGCGCAAGTTTCAATTTACCAACATTGTTTCTAAACCTTTTCTTTCGATATAAAGTTTTATTTTGTAGAAACATAAAATATATTCTATAATTTCATGAAAAATGCTTATGAAAAATGATTGGAAAATGCATTGTTTGTTTCATAAAATCAACTTTATCAAGAATCATGGCTAACTTTTGACATTGCTGGAAGTCATGTGGTGGAACTCTTACGTTTTCCAATAATATGTTTAACATTATTGTTATGATTTCGGTGTATTAGAATAGGGTGGAACTCTCAAATGGATTCACAAATACTAGAAATAGATGACAAGTGTTTGTTTACAAAGGGTATTGCGTAATTGAATTGTGCTTTTTGTATATAACCTTGGCCTTGAGAAATGGGGTAAAGATGCTTTATGGGTTGGAGGAGTTGCCCAAGCCTTCCAGATTTAGCAAATGTGTTGGATAAATGGAGGCATTTGTGAAAGCAAAAGGGGAATGCTCTAGCGACGCCGCCTAAGTTGAAACAACAAATGTCAAGGGTGCTATGAGCACCACCGCATTCGACAATTATTCATTTGCATCATTGATGTATCTCTTTAGTCATTTCTTAGGCCTTTCTAATTTGAATTTTTTCCTACGATGGTTTTTGGTGGTTTTCACATCATCGGTTATGCTTTCTTCAGTCCTACTTTTGATTTAATTGTCATGTATT